CTGGCCTCTGAAGTGGGGGCCCAAGGAGCGGGGGGGGGACCTTGCGGGACCGAGCCCTTCACCTGTGAGACCTGCCACCACCTCCAGGTAGACAGTGTTCAACCGGGTTGAGTTGCAGAACACCCAGCTGGCATCAGAGAATTGTTTGGTGGTGTGGTGGAAAACCCACGTTGGAGTTGGAATCAGAATTGTTAGCCCCCTCAGCCTGGGGTTCCAGGTCCCTTTCGAGCTCCGGGGCCCTGCCCCCCAGCCCCAGCCCCCCCTCTTCCTTCTCCCTTTCTGGAAACCAGGCTCCTGATGGTCACACTCACACTGCACGGAGAGGTTCAGGGTGCGGCTCTGGGAGCCACGCCCGTTCTCTGCTCGGCAGGTGTAGCAGCCTGAATCCCCAGGCATCACCCGGGTCAGCACCAGAGCCAGGGGGCCGGGGGTCCAGGGGTGAGACCAAGAAAGGATTCTGTCCTCCAGGGCCCAGCTCAGGGTGGCAGGGGACTGGCTCTCGGAAGCACAGACCAGCTGCAGGAACTGGCCTTTCTGGACTTCCAGATCCGGGCTGTCTCCCTGGGGCTCTGGGGCTGCAGAGACAGAAGCCGGGAGAGAGAGAGAGAGAAGCTGAAGGAGGAACAGAGTCTCCCTCGCCCTCTGTCTCCCTCGCCTCCACCCTCCGCAGAGGACCAGCCCCACCCTCCCAGGCCCTCAATACGTACCTGATGCCTTGGCTCTGGAAACGCTGATAACTAGGTCTTTGGGGACATCTGCAACAAGATTGAGACCTGGCTTGGGGGAGGACCGTGGGGCTCCTGGCAGTAAGAGGGAACCCCCTCGGGGCGAAGTGATATCCTCCGGGAGGCGAGTGACAAACTGGTGTCAAAGATGCTTGTGGCTGGGGAGCAGATGGCGTCCCCAAGCCCCTCCCAGGGCCGAGGCAGCGTGATGCGACTCCCCACCGACCTGTCTGGATGCCCCGCCGGCCACATCCCGCCGTGCCCGTCTGCACACCCTGATGCCCTGGCCACCAGACTCACGGGTGACGTTAAGTCGAACGGTTGTCTCTGTGCTCACGCCCTTTCTGGAGAAGTCTACCCGGCACGTGAGGTGGGTGCCGTGGTCCTGGGGTCTCGGTGTGAGAGAAAGCACTGAGAAGTAGGAGGATTTGCGTCCGGGCCCTGGGGTGGTGACGGCGGCCCCCATCCAGGAGAAAGTAGGGGCTGGACATTCCTCAAAGGCCCAGTTAAACACACAGATGAGTGTCGCCTGGCGCCCTGCTTCCAGGGTCTCTGGGACGTAGACATCGGGCTTCTGTGTCAGGGCTGGGGCAAAGAGAGGGCACAATCCTAGCCCTGGGAGGGGGTGCTACAGGGGTGACCCCTGATCTGCTCCCCACAGTGTGTGTGTGTGGGGGGGGTGGGGAACGGCAGGGAGGAGGAGAGTTTCCCGCCCAGTCCTGCTGGAGCCCGGTCCATACCTGTCACTTCCAGATAGAGCGGGCTCTCCACGAAATTATACCGCACGTAACTGCCTCTCTCCACCCGAAAGAAGTACTGTGCCGAGTCCTCCACCTGGGCGTCTCTGATCAGCAAGGAGCAGCTGCGGTTCCGGGGATCCCCAGTGAGCTGGAACCGGCCCCCGGAGCCACCTTGCACTTGATCCCACTTGTTTGTGGCCACCGGTCTTCCCTTGTTCGTGTCTGTCCCGACCACGAACCAGGAGCCGAGGGCGGGGGTGTCCTCCGTCCAGCCTATCCGGGGGTAGGAGAGGGTGCAGGGCACGTGCACACACAGGCCCTCCTGCACCATCACCACGCTCTGCACTTGCAGGGAGAATCCTGGGGCCTGAGCCTGAGACCCTGAAGGAGACAGAGGGCTCAAGCTGCAAGCCCAGCCCGTGCCCCCACCCAGGCCCCTTCTGGCCCCGTGGCC